TTTTGCCAAAATAGTGTGTATATATATACTCTGGCATAAATGGGTATGGACACCCTAATTTGAATAAAAATGGCTTAGATGTGAAGAAGTCCCTTTAACTTAAAATAGCAACTTGAGTCCTAGAAGGTTTAAAGTTCCTGTTATGATAGTGGCTGTTGTCTTCTGCTAGCAATAATAGGGCCCATATACAGTACTGTGCAATGGTAGTTCAATGAAGATAACAGATAGGCTGTGGTAAATGCTCAAAGTAAAGATCTCTTGATATTGAGGTATAAAGGTGTCTGCATGCAGTGTCTCTCTTTGGTAGTTATAGACCAATCAGCATCAGAAACACACTGCATGTACTAACTATAGGACTACAGGTCCCAGGATCCTCAGCTGTACAAGATCTGTATTCACTCTGCTAACAGGAAGTGATGTAGCAGTCCCAGCACTTATTTGTAGTCCCATTCATAAGTGTTCTTAGATGGCATACTGATATAGCAATTGGTATAAGTAGGATGTGTGGTGTTTTGTGCATTGGTTGTATTTATACTTTTTTGTCATACATTACTGTGATGTACTGTGATGTACTGTTACATAGTTAAAGAAGGTTGGATAAAGACACCAATCCATCCATTTCAACCTGAGTGTGTGTGTTTGTGTATATGTGTGTTTATGTCACTACCACTTTCCATATCCCTGTATATTGCGTTCACTAAGAAGCACATCTTATTTTTTAAAAAATGTATGTACCCTCACTCTTAGATTGTAAGCGCTAATGAGCAGGGCCCTCTGGATCCTCCTGTATTAATTTGTATTGTAATTTTACTGTCTGCCCTTATGTTGTAAAGCGATGCGTAACTGTTGGCGCTATATAAATCCTGTATTATAATAATGTACACCCCTTGCTGTTTATCTACACTCCCTTTACTCGTTGATAGCTAATACCTCATTGTGACCTTATCTAAAGAAGCCATGTGACAACCCACAAGATATCTGCAAAGGCATGCATACTAATGTATTTACAGGAAATAATATGAAGCTGACCATGAAATCCATTGATGAGCCTCAAGCTTTATTGATCTGCATCACACTAAGAACACATTCCATGTTATTTATGTCTCTTTGATGTCTTAAAGGCATGTTAGAAAAACAGTTTATAGATAGGCACAAAAGGAGCAAATTCAAATCTATATATTTAAATCAACATTTTCATTCAACCATGAGCTACTATAACAAAATACATTGTCAAACACATCCCTGTTAACTGTGTTGTTTTGCAGATGAAACCTCGTTGACATAACAGTGTATTTTAGCAACCACATATTTACAGAGTCAGCCACACAATACTATATTCTACATTGTAAAAAGTGTCCCCCAAGGGTGAAGGAGGGCAAAAACCGCCATGTGAATTTGCCAGGGTGTACAGAGTACTAAGTAGTTGCTAAGAGTTACTGCTACTGCTATGAAGGGGTGGTAGGTCTCCAATGCCATTGGAGTTACACACATGCAGCATATGATAAAGGTAGCTTCCTAGTAATGCAGGAATCTGTCCTGTTCATTCTTTTTGACATTTGCTGTCAGATGTCAGGTTTTGGCACAAAGGTGAAGCACTGGAAATAGGGTCTGAATTTGAAACTGGTAGGTCATCTGTCGTGGTCAGTGCACTGTCTATGAGGGATAAAGGATAAAGGATATCAGAGCCTGGAGTGAAACATAAAGGGTGTAGTGCAGTGTAGATAACTCATGCAGAGAACTACATCCTTCTGTAAAAGTGATTGTAAAGGCATATTTTTTTTTTTAAATAACAAATATGTTATACTTACCTGCTCTGTGTAGTGGTATTGCACAGAGCAACCCCGATCCTCCTCTTCTCAGGTCCCCCCCCCTGGCACTCCTGACTTCTCCTTCCTGACAAGTGCCCTCAGAGTAAGCAGGTTGCTATTGGGGAACCCAAGCAGGCTCGCTCCCGAGCCGCTAGCCCTGCATGTCCATTCACTCACAGAGCTATGGCTCAGTCCTGTTCCTCTCTCTCCTCATTGGCTCACTGGCTGTGATTGACAACAGCAGGAGCCAATCCTTGGAGAACCGAGGCTCTCATGCACATTTCTGGATCGCTATGGGGCTCAAGTAAGTATTGGGGGGACTGAAGGGGCTGTTGCACACAGAAGGTTTTTTATCTTCATGTATAGACTGCATGACGGTAAAAAACCTTCTGCCTTTAAAACCACTTTAAATCAAATTAATATATGTAATATATATGGAATTAAGATATTTAAAAACAATAATTTTTTATTACAATTTATATTAAAATCCACCGTGCATAAATATTAAAAATATTGGATCACACAATTGTATATATAAGAGAACTCAAAAACATCCCATCACGATATTGTTCATGAATAGTTTACACGTTTCACAGATATTTTGCTTCCACAGGTCTTGGGATATGTTCTCATATAGATGCTCAAGGTAGTGTCAATCCATTGCCCCCCTTCCTGCCAAGTGCCCCCAGCTTGCTATGGGGGCACCTAAGAAGGCTTGCTACCGAGCCACTGCTCTGTGTGTCCCCTTTATATAGATCTTACAACCACTTTAAATAAAATATGTGCTATAGTACATAAGTTACAAGTGCATCTGCACTTTCTCTTAATCCCTCTGCAAAGTCCCATAAATATCAAATAGCCTGCCAGTGAAGTCCATCTAAGGCTAGGTTCACTTAGATGCGGCTCTGTGAGCCTCTTTTTTGCATGGGCACCGCAGACCATGCATTTGAGGGAGCGTTTTCCCGTGCGTGCGGCATGCCATTAGGATTAATGGCACCTGCACACATCTCCTTTGTTTATCTGTGTGGGTGGTGGTTGTGGCTGCGGCAATAGGTGTGGACCCGCAGCGGGATCCATCTGCACAGATGTGAACCTAGCCTAATGTAGTTTCCTTGGATGGTGTGTGGCAACAATGTTGCACTGATTGTGGATTCAGAACAGAGTTGCCACTGTAGGCTCTACCTGCTTGCACTGCAATGGGAAGGAAAAATGTCATGGGGCCATGGCTATCAGCATTGTCACCTCTGATTCAAAATCCTGTCTGCTCTTCCTCCCCCCCCCCTTCTACTATTGGGACTTATAACATATTTTCAGGGGAGCGGGTACCTGGTTCTCCTCTACCCCCCCTTCCTGGTTGCAGTCTTCTTGGACACTTCTCAGGTCCAAGAGAGCTGCAGGACCAGTCACAGAGTGCAGTGTGGCGCGCACACCCGCAGTGGGCAGCTGGTTATGAAGCTACTAAGAATCACAGCCAGCTGCCCACAGTTAACGTGTCTGCGCCAGGGACCGAAGACCGATGAAGAACTCGGTTCAGGTGAGGACAGTGCTGGATCCCTGGACAGGTAAGAGTATGTTTTTGTAGTTTCTGACTTTTTTTTTTTTTTTTGTAAATGGATGAAGAACGGCTAGGAAGGATAAGGAAGGATGGCTAGAAAGGATAATTCCTGTAAATACAATGAAACCTCGGAAACTGTTATATAGGGCCATGCCTGGTAGGTGCTATTTTCAGTGAGCTGAAAAAAAACCATCTGTAAGACTGTATGGAGAAAAGAGTGTAAATACACATCTCATCAATTTGAGTGCCAACACAAACAAATTACTTTAAAGGGTTGTACTTCTATCCAGCAAATGACTTCTAAGTTCAGCAGTGTCTGAATTTTTTAAAGTCCAACACTGGAAAACCTGAAAATTATTCCTTAAAGTGGTGCGGCTCCTTAAACGCATAGGGTCAAAGCAGAACTACACTGCATCTGGGCACCAAAAATCAAAAAACTCTTTTTAACTCATTTGTAATATTCAAAGAAAGCTCACCCATCCGTCCATGTCTCCAAGCTTTATTTTGTTGAAAAATCACTTTGCATTTCTGGTCTTGGTCATCTTAAGTAAAGGCAGATGTAGAATTTAAGAATAAAGTAAAAAAGTGAGTGCTCCTTGGTTAGCAGTTAAGGCACAAATGGTAACCGATACAAAAACCTCATCAAAAACTAGAAATAGATAAATATGTGCAGTGCTAAAATAGTGAGTATATATATAAATGTCCACAAATGTATATACGTAAAAGCTAAATAAAGCAATAAAGGTGGTGCTGTTGGAGCACCTCTGAAGAAGTGCTTGTGCACGAAACGCGTTAAGAGGAGCCAAATACGCCGTGATGCCACGTGGAGGCCTGGTGGCCATCTTGCTTTCTGGATGGTTAGTCCATGCTGCTATAATTGCACATTACCACTTGATGTCACTTGATGTTACTTGATTTTAAGGTGTTTTTATGAATTTGCAAATTTGCTTTATTAAATAATACTTGGATTTTACCTACTACACACTATGGGTACTTTTTATGGTCTCCCATGCGGAGCTATTCATTTATAGAGTCCACCTGATCCAGCCCACTGCAGTATCCAGAGAAGGGAGTTCCTGGCTAATAGGCACCTACACCCATCCATCCCTTAAATGGACCTCTGGCCAGCTGGATCTTTTATCTCCTGTGAGCTCTGACAGCACCACCTTTACCTAGAGGGAGGATTATCCTGGACCAGGATCATATCCAACTCCTAAAGGGGACCTCTACTGATTTATGCAATGCGTATAAACTTTACGCATCTAGTGAGTGCGTAATTTTACCACACTGTTTTGGAGCACCGATACTGGATTTTATTATCATTCTGCACCTAGACCTGCACAGACTGTCGCTTTCTTATTGCTTTATTTAGCTTTTATATACATTTGTGGACATTTATATATATATATATACATAATATATATATATATATATATATATACAGTATATACTCACTATTTTAGCGCTACACATATTTATCTATTTCTAGATGTAGAATTTACTTCCTGGAATCCATCTGTCCTTAGTGCAGACATGCAGGCAGCCTAAGGTTCTGGCATCATCAAGACCAATGCAAGGTCTGTAGCCGTGGGACAGTCCAATGTCAGAGAGTGGGGGAGCCCCGCTTGCCTGGGGAGCTCAGGATCAGGTTAGTAAAAATACTTTCACTCTCCCCTAGTCTAAACAAGCAATCAATCCTTGTAGCAAGGGCACAGCCTCACTCCAAAGCAGGGGCGGACTGACAACTCAAGGGGCCCCCGGGCAATAGGGGATCATGGGGCCCCTGTGTCCCACAAAAAAAGCCTATGAAAAAGGTACCAGGGGCACCTCATGGGGCCCCCTACTGACCCCGGGCCTTCAGGCAGTGCCCGAATTTCCAAATGGTCAGTCCGCCCCTGCATATATGTGAAAAATGTCACAATTGGTCCAGTAGGCATGCAGTTAACCTTCATAACATTTCCAAAATGCACCCTTTTCTTAACTAAAACGACACCACGAAACAACTCATTCTCTCCCTGGTTATCTTGACTATGGCAACTGACCTTCCTCTACACAGGCTTTTCCCCCTCTCCCCCAGTCCATCATGAATGCTGATGCCAGAGTCCTCTACCTTAATCGACCTGTGGCTACTGCCCCTTTCTGCTAATCCTTCCACTGGCTTCCACTAACCCAATGTATAATATTCAAAAATAGTAACTACAACAAACAAATTCATCCACAACACTGCCCCCAGTTACATCACCAACCTCATCTTGACATATCGCACAAACGGTCCACTCCACTCTTCCGAAGACCTCCTGCTCTCTATCTCCCTCATCACCTCCCCTATACTTGCCTCCAGGACTTCTCTAGAACTGCCCTCGGGCAGTGCCCGAGTTTTCAAATGGTCAGTCCGCCCCTGCTCCAAAGGATCATTTTCAAATTCATTATCTTGAACACTATATGGAACAGGGCTGTCAAGGACAATGAGCAACATCCTTATTGTTCCCTATCTGCTCAGATTTAATTTGTTGAAGTCCATCAAAGGGTATTTATTTCCTGAGTGATTCATGGGCTCACTGCTACTATGGCTTAAAAAGGTATCTGTTTATAATATAATTATTTCAAACAATTGAATCTGACATCTTTTAAATGCCCTGTATCTGAAATACAGCAGTTTAAAGTAGTTCAAATATTTTAGGTTAATATAAAGACATGACATTTTTGAAAGTATTTAGGGTTTTTTTTTTGTGTTGTAAATAATCTTTTTTTAACTGTATTGAGCTATGAACCCAAACAAGCTATGGCATTTGCAAGACAAACTGTTAATTTTATCCTTTTGAACTGTGTGTAATGTATACAGTACATACGTGTATATATATATTTTTTTTTTGTGGGGAGGGGCCTTCTTTAAAACTTTTAGGTTAATATAGTTGTTATATTACTAGCATAAAAATCAAAATACATATTGGCAAACATACATAAAAAAAATAGGGAATTAAGAGATATTTGTACAAGCAGCTGAGTTTCTATTATTTCTTCTTCTTGTAACTCGCTCCAGATGTAGAAGTGAAAGTGTATGTAATCCTAATAATGAATTTCTCTTTTTTGTTCCCACTTGATATATTACAGAACTCCAGAACAAAAATTATTTTTTGACATTTGCTATATACAATGAAATTCCTTACGTTACGTATAACTCTTAGTTTCATTCATTCCGGACTTTACCATAAGCGCTGAGCTATCACTGTTGGGACTGACAGCTCTCTGCCTTCCTCTCCTCTCATCCATTCACAGAATGTCTAATGTTCTTTCACAAGGTGTTCTGCAAATACAGAAGGATGGAGGAGAGGTAAATAAACAACAGAATCTTCTCTTGTCCATTCCCAAAGCACCTTATATTCTGTGAAAACATTACAACACATTTTGTGAATGGATGAGGGGAGAAGAAGAAGGATGGCAAGGAACACTATCCTTCACTGTATAAGTTACAGAAATGTCAGTCATAGCTCCAGAAGTTCAATGCTTAAAGTAATGTCAGTAATGAATGAAACTAAGAATTTTACCTAATGCAGTATCGTCCATACATGGGAGACCTATCGTTCTAGGTAATTCATTTGTAAATAGCAGTTGTCTGTAAAGTGTTTTCCTTTAAGTCCTCATTAACCCCTTGGTGCCTCTTTAGGGGTTTCAACTGCTGGGAGGCGGGGCTGAATTTGTGATCATGTGGTCGCTGTGATTTGCTGTCACAGTGCGGTCACATGATTGGAAAGCTCCCGATCACAAGTAGAGATTGGGAGCTTTCCGTTAGCTGCCAGTAACTGTGCCGGGACGGTGCATGGTGCGTGCTCTTGGCGCCATTCTGTTCTTCTTTGTGTAAGCATATATGTGGTCTCTCAGCGTTAAGGCCCACCAACCGAGAGGCCTCATATATGCATATGGCCCTCGAGAAAGAGTTAATATATACTTTAAAGTGTTTTATTATATCCAGATATAAACTGCCAGGGAACCCCCAGTCCACCAGTTTTTGAAAACGTAGTCAACCTGGCTGCAGTGCCCTTCTAGGAAACAAACGTAATTGGTCTACTGAGTGCTGCAAGCCTAGCCTATTATAAGCCTGAAATGACTGATAACATGAAACTTTAGCTTGAGGCCAAGTAAACACTAAATTCAAATGCAAAGTTGAAAAAACATAATAAAAAATATAGATTTAGCTTTCTTTGTGAGTAAGCCACCTTAGAGTTTACATTTTGTGGCTTCATTCAAAACTGATATTTGCACTTTGTGTGGTTGCTGTTATGGTGGTTGTAAAGTACGCAGACCCCAAATACTTAATACTTACCCCTAATATTTACCAAGCCCTATCCCAAGCCAACAATCTGCTATCCCGGCTCTCTGCTTCCTCATTGGCTTTTGCTGCTGTCAATCACAAAGGGGCTGAGCCCTGTTCTGTGTGTCTTATGAGTGCCCCCATAGCAAGCGGCTTTCTTGGGGGCACTTGGTGGGGGGAGGACCCGAAACTTCTGCAGAGAGCAGGTAAGTATAACATATTTATTATTTTAACCACTTCACGTCGGCGCCTCGCGGACCTTTAAATGTTTCAGAAGCCGTTAGGCGGGCTGGGTTTTAGAGTCATGTGACCGCCGTGATTCACCTTCATGGTGGTCACATGATCAGAAAAGGTCCCGATCGAAAGAGATTGTGACCTTTCCGTGAGTCACGGACATATGTGCTGGGAGCGCGCAGGGCACGCGATCTCAGCACATATGTATTTTCTAATTGCACGCAAATATGCGGCCGCTTAGCGTCAAGGCCCAGGCGCTGTGAGACCGCATGTTTGCATGCGCTCTGGGTCAAGGGGTTAAAGAATTAGGCCTTTAATATCTCTTTAAGCTGAATGATATGCTCATATTTCATAAGGCTATTAGTATAATAGATAAGAGTGGTGAGCTGTCCTCAACAGAATTTTCATTTCAGCTTAAATAAGACTATACAACTGACAAAGAAGATCATTTACAACACCTCTACCTTGACACCTTGATTATGAGTGTGGGTGTGGGTGGGAGGTAGCAAACAGCTAAAGAAAAAACATTTTCCAGAAGTTTGGGAAATTAAAGAAGCTGGATGGTAAATTAAATATAAAAGTTTGTTTTCCGTAAAATTGACCTAGTAGTGATTGTGTGCTGCAATTATAAGTATATAGGAATTTAAACAATGGAAATTCTCGTAAGACAGAATACAATTTTGGAAGTGATGTAATGTGTTGTATTGTACTGTAATGCATTTTTTCATTTCTGAGAATGCGTGGTCTTGCTCTTCTGATTTGTTTTGGACAAATACTGTACTTAACCACTTGGCAACGGCGTTACAGCCTAATGACGGCTACAGCGCGGTTGTCCAGTCCTGGGAGGGTGTCATGTGATGTGGGTGGGTGAAGCCTGATGGGGAACTGCAAGATTACTTCCCTATCAGGTCTAACTTGCTTTTGATTGACAGCTGATAGCAGTGCATGTATTTGAGGGCTGCTATTTTTCTGAATAGCTATGGGTCCACCCACTGCTGTGGACTGTCAGCAAAAAGGAAGGCAAACCTAATGGGGAACTAATCCCTCAGTTCCATATCAGGCACTGTCCACCCCACTACAAACCTCCCCCACCTGTCAGTGTGATTGCATAGTTGCCAAGCAGGGAGCGCACTGAGAAAGGAGGTGTCCAGTTCAACAGGCGCATGATTTTTGACAAACGCCAAAGATTTTGATGAGGAGGCCCAACAGAATTCTAAATGGTACCTACAACATCCTTTATGAGTTCCCTCAGTATGCTCAATAATTACTTGTCTTAAAGTTTGAACGTTACATTTTCTAAAGTGCTATATTCCACTACCAAAATAGCTGAAGAGACTGACTCTTGACTTCTATGAAGGACCTTAAGACATTTAAAAGGTCAAAACAGATATGTTCCCCTTTAAATAGCTGGGAATATCTGTATTAGAAGTTCCAATATCTTCCTGGAACATGGGTCCACTCAAGCAGAAAGTTTTACACTCGCAGCCATAAGAACAATAAGAAATTGTCATAGTGCTCACTGTGCCATTAAAGTACCTAAAATATAATAAAAACCACACTAACAATAAAATCAAAATAACAGGCATTGAATGTCTCAGTGCAGGTTAGCTTCTGAGGATCACTATACAGGCTATTCAGGTAGATTTGGCTGACAGTTCCACAAATATACAGTATCAGTCTGGGCTGCTGAGATTCATTGCAGACTGCTCTAAGGACACCAAAGGAATTAGTGGACTGGGTGGAAGTGGTTACACCAGGATCATGACTTCAGCTGCAACCATGATCCTGGTATCAAAATTTGCAGCCAGTGATGGGCTTTCCTGTAAAAGTGATCAGAGCAGCTCTACTGCCTCTGTCCTGGCTCCTGCCGCTACTGTCTGCTGCCATTTCCTGGCTCTCCTGTGCAATCGGGGAGCTTGAAACTGCTGCCCTCTGTTGGGCCAGCTGAGTATACAGGAGGGAAAGGTACATCCATAGCTTCCTCTACTCTGTGATGAATGAAACTGGAAATCACTAGGATTTAATCTGGTTTTGGTTTGTTGTTTACAAGCTGTTAATGTCCACACAAGCATCTGATCAAACCGATCTAGGTTTGATCAGATGCTTTGTAGGGCAAAGGAAAAATCTGGCTGCCACTGCCCAGCTATCACAAGGGATGTTGTTCATCCCGTGTGATAGCAATAAAGTTGATCAAAAAAAAATGTAAAGAAACAGTGTAAAAAATTCATTTGTGTTCACTCACAAATGCGAACATGCGCATAGGTTCCACATGCATATGTAAATGGTGATTAAACCATACATGTGAGGTATCGACGTGAATGTCAGAATGAGAACAATAATTCTAGCACAAGAACTC